GTGCATGGTATCCAGGGTGATCCGGAGTCGAGTTGCGTGTGAACTCTGAGTCGAACGTGTAAGTGAGGGCGCCCAGCGCCATAGCCAACTGAAGTTAACTTGGATTTGAGTTGAGTTGCAAGCTACCATATCTCCGAGTTTGAGTTGGGTGCACAGCGCCAAGTTATTCTCATCTGTTGCATGCATGTTTGAGTGTGAATTTGCAAGGCTGATTTCAATACTACTTAATACCACTTCATACCACTTCATACTAAGTTAATAATTTTTATTATTATCTTGTTCATACTTCATAGTACTTCATACTAAGTTATCCTGTTACCTCCTTCGTCATCCTTGGGTGTGCGATTGATGCAAAGAGTCATCTTGGGTTTCCAAGTCCACTTCCTTTCGTTTCCTTTTTCCACACAAACTCTCTCTCTCTCTCCATTGTCGGTGGCTATTGCTGAACTGAACCAGCTCCAATCTGATAAAAAGAAAAAGAAAAGACTTCAACTTTCCAAAAGAGGTAAAATTTGGGACTGACACGTCGTTCGTCGGCTATGTGATTGCCTCGTCTATACCCATTGATATAATTTGATGCTGATTGCTACACAGATATGCCGAAGCACTTCGTTTCCAGTCGCGGGAGAGAGTGAAGAGCCAGCAAGCGGCTCAGCAAGCGGCTCTGGAAGCGGCTCAGCAAGCGCCTTTGTGCTCTTGTGGGAATGAGACATCCCCCTTCGATCCCGAATACATCTACCACTGTGCTCCTGACTGTCATCTGTATAGGAATCCGATGGAGTACACTCATGCACTTCACGTCGCCCTTCATAACGCGAGCACCGTTCCATCATTCTGCCCGACGCCCGGGCGTCAAGACAGTGCATGTTACACGACCAATCCTTATTCTCGGCAGGAGTAGTACGCGCTGCAAATTTGTTTTTTTTTCACATTTTTTGTGCTTTTTGTTGGTAAATATGTGCTGCGGACTTGCGAAGGAGGAGATCTGCATTGGGTAGTCGTCGGTCGTCAACTTGTAGCGCGCCTTTTTTTATTATTATTTTATTACTGTAATTGTAATGCAAGCTATGGTACCAGCTGTCCGACAGAAGGACAGCCGGGACAGATCTTTTCGGCGGACGTCCGGTGCCCCTGTTGTCCGGGATCGTGGACAGCGCACTTTCGGCTGATGCGTGGGACAGCGGGGCTGGACGCATTATACGCAAGGCAAAAAAAAAAAAAAAAAAAAAAAAAGAAGCTCATTTAACGAGCCCAGGTTCTTTCATGTGAATGGCAACTAACGTCTTCACCCGAACAGAACGCCCGGTCATTATATATCTGCATTTGGCGAAACTTTCAGTCCAGATGCAGGCTATAATGACCGGGCGTTCTATTCGGGCGAAGACGGTAGGCATGGAGAAGGAACACAGAGAAAGAAAGTAAGTGGAATATCCCGTCACCGGTGCTTTCTACTCTGGTTAACCCCCCGACCCTACCTCGCTCAACCATACTTCCATCAACATGGGATGTGGTCCTCCTGCAAGGGGAAAAGGGGCAATGAAAAGCTTCATTGCCTCTCAGTGTTTGCAAACTTTGCATGGCATAAGCTTAACAGTGTTCTTCAACTCTCTCTCTCTCTCTTTTTTCTTTTTTTCTTTTTTTTTCTTTCTTTTTCCCTCCAGTGTTTCTCTTGCATCGAATTTTGTGAAATCAGCAGAGGGAATGCTGCTTTTCTTTTCTTCCTTTTCTTGTGTTTTTTTGTGGTAATTGTTTTGCAGATTGATTACGTTCCTGTTGCCTTAGCTCCTTCTCCTCCCTGTGGATGGACCTGTTGTGGCCGTGTACCGTGTCTAGAACATGCCTAGAGGAGGTCTGCATTCAATGTTACCTTTTTTTTTTTCTTTTTTTCTTTTCTGGTTTAACGTTTCCCAACACAGCAAATCAAGGATGTTCTCTTGTGCAACCACAGAATTGCCCTCATCACGATGTTCCGGACAACTGGTCCACATTCAATGCTTTTTCGTACGAGTTCAGCAGTCTCACACACGTTTTCCAGACACTGGATGATCTCCACGCATTTTGCTTCGCTCTTCCATCTCCTTTATATCTGTGAACCCTATGCAAGTTAGGGGACCTCTTTTTGTAACTTCCCCCCCCCTTCCTCTCTCTCTCTCTCTCTCTCTCTCTCTCTCTCTCTCTCT